GAAACCTCTGCAGGAAAACAACCAAGCTCAGAAAGCACCAAGGACCCTTCATTTCAACCCTGAGCTACAACTATTCTCCTTTAAAGTTTAAAGTATGTAAAATAAATCTAACTATTCCCATTGTGTTCCTTTCTCATTCTCATGTTTCACTCTTTTCTTCCCCTAGATTTCTTATGGGTCATTTGAATCTAAAGTCACTACCGAATCACATTTCCCTTCCTTCTATCGTATGGTCCCAAATGAAGTCCTTCAGTATGAGGGTTTAATCCAGCTCCTTCTACATTTCAGGTGGAAATGCTTCTAGGAGCAACATACTGTATATAGTGTTTTTCTATCGAAGCACCTGGTCAACCCCAATATGGGAAGAAGCATACTGCTTCTCTTTCGCCTTTCAGCTCCAATCCAGGAGTTCTCAAGCAGTCGCATTCACGACAAACCATTTTATACCAAATTTATATTTGCTGGTAAAGAAATAAAGGGAGATTAGTATAGATCTATTTCAAGCTATTTATCTGTCATCAGCTAGCCATACCCTTACTCAGATTCGAACTTGGGCTGCCTGCATATTAGGCAGTTGTGTTAACCTCTGAGCCACAAGTTCTCTTCCCTTTATCACCAGGGGAGCCAGGGGAGAGATTAAGTGTTTTTCTATCGAAGCACCTGGTCTACCCCAATATGGGAGGGAGCTGAAAGGCGAAAGGGAAGCAGTTGACTTCCATCATTCTTTAACTGAATTGTTTACTACTTCAGTTGTTTATTTTGGACTTCCAGAACTCATCAGTGTATTTAACAGCCTGTAAGGTTTTCATGTTCCAACAGAATTTATGCAACTAATTCTAACTATCAACATCACTATAATATTCCTCAGTGCTAAAACCTCCAAAGGCTTTCTAGAAGAGGAATCAACTAAATCAAATATTTTATATTCACCCTGGCATTTTGTCAATAGACAAGAGAATAGGAGGGCTCTGTTACTTTGGCCAACTTCTCTCTCATAATGAATAAATCGGATTTCAAATATTGATTCTCAGGTGATTCTCAAAACCTGCTTTTGTAATTTGAGGGACAGGAAGAACATTGAACATACAACATCAGGGTTGGAAGGGACCTTGGAGGTCTTTGGCCTAACCCTCTGCTCAAGCAGGAGATCCTATACCATTTCAGACAGGAGGCTGTTCAGTCTCTTCTTAAAAGCCTCCAGTGATGGAGCACCCACAACTTCTGAAGGCAAGATATTCTGATAGAGAGAATGCAAGGTCCTCTGGGAAATAAAGCTGTCATCATCTAGTCACTCAAATTGAAATCTGGCCAACAGTTGCAATAATGTAGTAGAGAGAAATGGAAGGTTTAATGTGCAGAGGGAACATTGTCTTCAGAATGGGAGTGATGCTGGTTCTGTTTTTTCTCTCCTTTCTCCTCAATGGGGTGAACAACTCACATGCCTTTTCATGCAGTGGACAAGATCCTCTCTATATCCCACATGAATGGTATGAACCAGGCGATTTCTTCATTGGTGGGATGGTGTCTCATATCCATTACATTTTCTTCAATATTTTGTTCAACAAACACCCTTCTCAGGAGTCACTTAGCATACCAATGTAAGAGGTTTTTATCACCCCCAGTGTGAACACTAGCCTATAAAAATACATTATTTTCGTGCTTATTTGATTGTTTGCAGAGTATTTTATTCTAAAAGGATGGATGGATGATGGGTGGATGGATGGATGGATGGATGGATGGATGGATGGATGGATGGATTGGTGGATGGATGGGTGGATATAGATAACAGTTGTTCGTTGAGAATACAGTGAAATGTTCAGTCTGGACTCTGGGGAGAATCTTCTCATATTATCAATAGAATTTTGGTGGATGGAAGGATGGATAATAGGATGGATGGATGGATGGATGGATGGATGGATGGATGGATGGAAGGATGGATGTGTTAAGGATATTGTTGTTGTGTTACCAACCAGCAGAGTGTAGAGCACAGAGAAACGTTGCTGAGAACAATGAATAAGAGATGTGCAAACTGGTTTATCAGAAGTTTACTTTATAGTGAAAAACAATCTCATAGTCTTTAAATCAATCCAAGTCTTTGCCAGTTAAATCAGTCCAGTGATAAAAAAACTGGATGGATGGACAGTATCAAATAGACAGCAGTGATTTGTTGAGAATAAAGTGAAGTGTTCAAGCTTCACTGTGAGGAGAATCTTCTCATATTATCAACAGAATTTTGATGGATGGATGGATGGATGGATGGACAGTATTAAATAGACAGCAGTAATTTGTTGAGAATAAAGTGAAATGTTCAAGCTTTCACTGTGAGGAGAACCTTCTCATATTATCAACAGAATACTTGGAAATCCAGCTGTGGTCTACTTTAGTACATAGGAGAATATTATTCCAAAAGGACACAATGAAACAAAATCTGCAGAGATCCCTAATATCTCCTTCCTGACTTCCAGTCTAATGCACAGATTTTGAGTCTTTTATTTATAGAAGGGGAAAATGAAAGAACAGACATAATTATGCCAGAATTATATTTATAAGGGATATAAAACACACCTTATTTTGAAATTTGTAAGGAATACATGATCTGAAAATAGAAAAAAAAGAGGTATAAAGTATATTGGAAAACCATAATAAAATAAGATGTTTAATGATCAGGACCACCTATTGTGGGTTTAAATTTCTTCGTATTAGGCCTTTCGCTAAAGTTCAGAGATAAGTTCAAATATTGTCCTCAATAATACAAGTTTTGTTTGCTCTATTTTTTCCTATGCTGATTCTTATTAGTGACTATTCATATCCTTTCGATGTGTATTTTATTAGTCCTTGTATTCATATAACAGACACTGTTTTAGGTTCCTATACACATGAACGGATTTGAGCCTGTGTAGATGATTTCTTAGGAATGGATTTAGCCATTCTGCCAGATATGAATAGAATAGAATAGAATAGAATAGAATAGAATAGAATAGAATAGAATAGAATAGAATAGAATAGAATAGAATAGAATTCTTTATTGGCCAAGTGTGATTGGACACACAAGGAATTTGTCTTGGTGCATATGCTCTCGGAGTACATAAAAGAAGTTACATTCATCAAGAATCAAAATTTCTTTTTGTGTTGATAAATATATTATAATTATCTTGAATCATAAGGCAAGAGAATCACGCTGGGGCATGCAGAAGATCCGGTTGTTACCCACCACGATGATGGAAATCAATAATCCTGATGAAACCCACAATTATTATTATATGGAATATAATTATAATGTCACTCGGGTGGTTGTTTTTACTTTTATACATATAAGAAGATATTTACGACTGATGGGGGCAGATATGATTGAAGATCTTGAATAAACTGTTGCATCAGCAAGCTATGTTACCCTATTATGGATGTTGGTTTTAACAATCCAGTGGAAAGACCTCAAAGAAGATATTATATGGACTATAAAATTAAAGTTATTGTCTTTTCTTTTTTTTTTTATTTAGATATAATGGAATATATATATATATATATTTTAGTAGTGTGGGCAGTGAATTAAAGATATTAAGAATTGTTGTGTATGGTAAATTTGCAGGACAGTGGGTGAATAAGCTAGCTACAGACTGATTAGTTTAAGAAAAGGGATTTTTAAGTGATACATTTAGGGGAGTGGAGGAAATGGATAGAGTGGAATAAATGTTAAATTAGATTTTATGGGGAGGCCGCTTTGAAATGTTATAGTAATATATATAGAAGATTAAATATTAAAGTAGGACTTATCGTATAGTTTTAAAGGGGAAGGTGGTTTTGAATTGTTGTAATAATATATAGATATAAAACATTATTATGTTAAATTAGAAGTTATTTTACAATAGTTATAGTATAATGTTTTTTTTTTCTTCTTCTTTTCTGAAAAGTATGGATAAAGGGGGATGTTATGATATTTATAATATTTTTAGTAAGGAAAGGTCAGTATTTTGAGGAGGGAGTAAGTAATCTGTTATGAATTAGGGTTTTTTTTTGTTACGAAGAAGTCACAGGGGGGGATGGGTGGGGAGGGGGGGTTAGGGAGGGGGAGGGGGAGGGGGGGAAAAAAAGGGCGGAAAATTTGTATTTGAAAACTTTTTTCAATAAAAAAAAAAGAATCAAAAGGTACAACACTTAATGATAGTCATAGGGAAACAGTCAATATAAATCTTAAGGATACCAGCAACAAGGTTACAGTCATACAGTCATAAGTGGGAGGAGATGGGTGATAGGAACGATGAGAAGATTATTGACAAAATTATCGGGATAACCCAGTTTAAGCCCTGAATGACTGCAGTTCAGGGTATCAACACTAAGATACAAAAATCAGTAGTCTGACTCTTTAAAACTTTATTCATCCATTGCTTTCCATTTTCAAGCTTTCAAAAAGAAAAAAGTGGAATTAACATTCTGTTTTGACAACTCCATGCTACTGAGAACAGCTCTGAGAAATCAAAGATTTCTTTGGTTAAAAACTGATCAAAACATGTTTCATGTTGTGGCATGAAAGCCTGAATTCATTCCAGGATAATCACAATACATTTTCAAAGAGGATGCTAATTTTTTTTTTTAAATTTGATTTATATGCCGCCCTTCTCCAGAGACACAGGGCAGCTTACAATGTGTTAAGCAATAGCCTTCATACTTTTGTATATTTATACAAAGCTTATTGCCCCCACAAACTGGGTCCTCAATTTACCTACCTTAGAAAGGATGGAAGGCTGAGTCAACCTTGAGCCTGGTGAGATTCGAACTTACAGTAATTGCAGACAGCTGGTGTTAATCACAATGCTATCAGTCTGCTGAGCCACCAGGCTCATTTGATTTGATTAACTTTACTTAAATTGTGCTCCTTTTGTATACTGAGGCACATATAATTTTCCATTCAAAACTACGTACATGCAATTGTCCATTCAAAACTACATCAGTATACCCTAAACATACTGATTTTGTGCACTGTTTAAAACTATCATCTAACAAAAATGTCCTCCATTTCCAGAGTGGTGACCAAGTTCTACCAGCATATTCTAGCTTTGGTCTTTGCTATTGATGAGATCAATAACAATCCCAAGATTTTACCCAATGTTACTCTTGGGTTCCACATCTTTGACAGCTACTCTGATTCAAAGATGACTTACCACACCATTTTGGACCTGCTCTTCACTTCACAAGAGTTCACTCCAAACTACAAATGTGGCAGTCAGAAAAACGTAATAGGAGTTATTGGGGGATTTGGCTCTGATACAACCTCACGCATGGCAGATATCTTACATCTTTATAAGATTCCACAGGTAATACATGAAAAATTCTCCATTTTTATTCATCTTTTACCTTCATTAATGCTACCACTATAATGATCCTTTAGGTGAGAGCGATGTGATAATGTGAAAACAAAAAGAGCTGAACTGATTTCACTATTTACAATATCATATTCATAAATGTGTGCACTAGATTCAGATGATTTAGATTAGGCCAGACTAATTTGAATATTTAGGAGCCAGTTTGTTGTAAGGGTTAAGCCCCAGGCTGGAAACCTAGTGACAGGATTTCTGATCCTGTCTTGAAATGAAGTCAGCTGGATGACCTTGGGCCAGTCACTCTCAACCCTAGGAAGAAAGCAAGGGCAAACAACTGGATGAGCACCAAAATGACTCTAGCTAATCAATAACGGGCGCAGTGGCTAAGACACTGAGCTTGTCGATCGAAAAGTCGGCAGTTCAGCGGTTCAAAATTCCTAGTGTTGTGTAATGGGGTGAGCTCCCGTTACTTGTCCCAGCTTCTGCCAACCTAGCAGTTCGAAAGCATGTAAAAAATGCAAGTAGAAAAATAGGGACCACCTTTGGTAGGAAGGTAACAGCATTCCGTGCACCTTTGGCATTTAGTCATGCCGGCCACATGACCACGGAGGCGTCTTTGGACAGCGCTTTGAAACGGAGATGAGCACCGACCCCTAGAGTCAGGAACGACTAGCACATATGTGCGAGGGGAACCTTTTCCTTTACCCTTAATCAATAAAAATGTCCAGTTGTCATGATTCAACTTTCAGACACTTTTGTCCAGATAACTGAGAGTCTTCATTGACAGGCTTGTACATTTCTGGATAAGAAAATATGTGCTTAAATCAACCAATAAAGCAATGGGGTGGTGGTGGGGACCTAGAATCCCTGTTTGAACTCTGAAATTTTCACTTTTCACTTTTTTCTTTTTAGATTTCATATGGCTCATTTCAACCAGCATCCAATGATCGGATCCATTCCGCTCCTTTTCTCCGCATGGCTCCCAGTGAATTACTTCAGTACCAAGGACTTGTCCAATTGCTTCTGTATTTCCAATGGAGATGGCTTGGACTCATGGCTACAGATGATGAGAGTGGAACATATTTCTTACGGACAGTTGAGCAAATACTTCTACAGAAAGGAATCTGTCCATCTTTCTCAGTAAGGTTGACAAAACATATCTATTTTTTTGATGAAATAGGGACAATGATCTTTGAGAGAATGGACATTTTGAAGAATTTTATGCTAAGTACAGCTAAAGTTGTCCTTGTTCATGGAGAAACTGCATCCATTACTTGGTTGGCAATCGCTATACAAACAACTCAGACCATGCAATATATATTCCCATGGGAAAAGGAGAAGTACAGTCCAAAAAGGGTATGGGTTACTACAGCCCAAATTGATTTCACTTTATTTCACTTTCAAAAGATTATTGATGTTAAACCCCAAATCTTCCATGGAGCTCTTTCTTTCAACATTCACGCAATGCAAATTCAAGGTTTTCAACAATTTCTTGAGACTGTCAATCCCTTTTGGGAAGAAAAAGATGGTTTTATCCATGAATTCTGGTCACAAGCATTCAACTGTTTCCTTTTCAAAATCAATGTGTTAAGTCTCGCCTTTCTACCATGTAATAGAAAGAAAACCTTAAAGGATCTTCCTGCACCATACTTTGAAATGAGCATGCTCGGTCATAGTTATAGTATATATAATTCTGTCTATGCATTGGCTCATACCTTACATGCAATGTACTCAACCAGAATCAACCACAGACCGTTGAAACACGGAGGCAGACTGTCACCTCAGAATATAAAACCATGGCAGGTAATATTACTTCAATGACAAAAGGCAATAAAAACCTTTTTTAAAAACTGGCAAGATCCAGCTGACCTTTTCTGTTCTTCGATGCTAAGTGGAGTCATATCCAGTTGGTGCTTTAATTGGACATTCAAAAGTTATAGGGTAGATTCTGAAACACGAAATAACTCCATGGTGTTTCCAAAAGCTTGCATGGACTTGTTAATAACAGGATGACAGAACAACAGAGTTGGAAAAGGACATTGAAGGTCTGCTAGTGATTACCTCTAAGGTAACCATAGACATGTATCTGTAAAATCTTCCTGATCTCCCAAACTTCTTCATTTCTGGGGCAGTCTACCATATTTTCCTCAGGTATTTTGTCCATCTGACAAAATTCAGTCTTTTTCTGGAACATCTGGAATTGATGTTAGTAGAATGTTTATATCACATTAGTCCATGAGTGAATAAATTGGTCTCTCAGTACAAAGCTTAGAAAAGATTTCTCTCCTTTCTATAGGATTCTTGTCTGTAGATATGGTAATATCACTTGAATGGCAAAACACAATGTTTAAAAATATTGACAAGATCCACCTGACCTTTTTTGTTCTTGGATGCTAGGCGGGATCACATCCAGTTCATGCTTTTATTGGGAGATCACCAGAAGTCCCAAAAATTATAAGGTCGATTTTGAAAGACAAAAGACCTCCATAGTGTTACCAGAAGCCTGCATGGATTTGTGAATAACAGAATGACATCGAGCATACAATATCAGAGTTGGAAAGGACCTTGGAGCAGAGGTGGGTTTCCGCAGGTTCTGACCAGTTCTGGAGAACGGGTAGCAGAAATTCAGAGAACCAGTAAATACCACCTCTGACTGGCCCTTCCCCCATCTATTCTCTGCCTCCTGAGTCCCAGCTGATTGGGAGGAAATAGGGATTTTGCAGTAACCTTCCCCTGGAGTGGGGAGGGAATGGAGATTTTACAATATCATTCCCCTGGACTGGGGTCAGAATGGAGATTTTACAGTATCCTTCCCTTGCCATGTCCACCAAGCCATACCGACCAAGCCATGCCATGCCACGCCCACCAAGCCACACAGTAAAAAAATTGAAACCCACCACTGCCTTAGAGGTCTTCTCCAACCTCATGTTCAAGCAGTAAACCTTCTGGTTGAGCCAAATGGTTGTCCAATCTCTTCTTAAATACCTCCAGTGTTGGAGCACCCACAACTGCTGGAGGCAAGTCATGCCAGTGATTAATTGTTCTAACTATCAGAAAAATTATTCTTACTTCTAGGATTAGTTTCCATTGCTTCCTGTCCTGTTCTTAGGGGCTTTGGAAAACAAGTTGATCACATTTTGTTTGTGACAATCCCTTTGATATTGGAAGATTGCTATCATGTCACTCCTAGTCCTTCTCTTCATTGGACTAGATGTACCCAAATTCTTCTAAATTTTCTTCATATGGTTTAGCCTTCAGTCCCCTGTTATCTTTATTGATCTTCTCTGCACTTTTTTTTAGAATTTCAACATCTTTTTTTATTTTGTGGCAAGCAAAACGGAATGCAATATTCCAAGAGTGATTTTAGACATGGAAATCTTGGCAGCCCCTTAGATAATGGAACACTAGTATCATGTCACCCCTAGTTCTTTTCATTGTATGCTGGTCTCAACTTGAGCAATTCTTTACCTTCTTTTATATTTGGATAAACAAATCAATCACTGATTAGGATATCATTTATTATTTCTAGAAAGCAAAGCACACTTTATATTAACAATACAGGTATACCAATTTGTTTAATGCATTGAATGGTTTTTATTGCCAGGTAGCAGCTAAGAATGTGGCCAAGAGTTCTATTTTATGCTGTCCAAGATTTTCCTTCTAGCTCACATGACCAAAAGTTGAGCTATTGTTAAAGGGATAAAAAGAATCCCAAAAATTAGGTTTTACATATTTTCCCTAGCTTGTTTCTAAGTGAGTCATACATTATTCCATGAAAAGCTTGTAAAGACAAAGTGTCAGACCTATTGCAGCTTGGGTGTTCAGGAAGGAAAGACCCTCAACTCCATTTGTAGTGAAAGGTATACTTTTACTGAAGTTAAGTAGCTAGACCACAGCAAAGCCAGGCCTGAGGATTTTCCATTTAGTCCTAGTTCAGGGGTCGGCAACCTTAAACACTCAAAGAGCCACAAAGATCCTAACCAGAAGCCCCCCATTCAATTCTGGAGCCAATCAGAAATCTGGTTCCTCCACCATAGAGTCTCCTCCTAGCATGGCATCCTTTTTCCTTTACCTGTCCTAACCAAAAGCCCTATCAATTGTGGAGCCAACCAGCGACAGGGAGCCACAGCAGAGGGATGAAAGAACCGCATGCGGCTCCAGAGCCACAGGTTGCTGACCCCTGTCCCAGTTAGTTTTTCTTCTCCCAGTCCAATAAGGTTCAAATTAGGTGTTTTGGTAACCGTTTCACATTTTGGTGCCTCGTTGGATGGGCGTTTTGCATTCCATTCCCAGGCTTGTCCTTGGATCTTTCAACTGTCATCTCTGGATGGCATCTCTAGTTTCTTTCATCCCCTTCCCTATCTTCCCATTTCCCCTCCCAACAATATAGGGCAGACAGCCATCAAAGCAAAGTGAAGCAGGGCTGTAGCAGTTTGATGGCAGATCTGATACAGAACCCCAATGGAAGCTAAGATGTAGAGAGACATATGTGCAAAGATTGTCTTTCTGACAGTCAAAGTACCTTTATAAAAGAGCAAGCAAGAAGAAGTCTGTTGATAATAGCTAGCACTTTAATCCATGAAAAAAATGGACAATTTCCATTCCATGGCTTAAGTCATACCAATAAGGCAATCATATGGATATATCTTTGATACATTCCTGATCTCCCAATGTTCTTCATTTCTGGGGAAGTCTACCATATTTTCTCCAGGTAATTTGTCCGTTTGACAAAATTCAATCTCTTTCTGGAACTCCTGAAATTGGAATATTTCTAGAATGCTTACATCGTGGCAGTCCATGTCTGAATAAATCTGTTTCTCAATATTTAGATAAGATTCATCTCCTTTCTATGAGACTCTTGTTTGTAGAAATGTATGATCACATATAAAGGGAGAGTGTGGATGTATATTTAATTTAAGAAAAAATCTCATGCCTGTACCTTCCCATCTGAACTTTCCTAATTAGAGTAAGTCCTAAATCACTCCCATAATTTATTACTTAATCATTTAAAGAAAATAATGATGATGTTGATGATGTTATCCATTCAGTCATGTCCACGGGTGGTATTTACTTACTTTCCCTACCGGTTTGCAAATGTGAGTGCACGTGCCCCATCCACGCGTGCTCCTGGCTTTCCATGCATCTGCTTTGCTGGTGCGTGCACCTTCCATGCATGTGCCTGGCCATAAAAAGTACCTAAATAGGATGACATAGAGCCAGGGCAGGTGGGCGGGTAGGCAGGCCCACCTGCGATTTCTGCTACCGGTGCGGGTGAACTGGTCCGAACCAGCTGAATACCATCGCTGATCATGTCCGACTCTCCATGACTCTATGGGCCACATTTTCTGATCTTGCACTACTTCTTTGAGGTTTTTCTATGCTCTGGCTGGTGTCACTTTTACTGCTAATTCTTCTGAACACAATTGTTTTCTGCAATGAATTTCCCCTCAGGACATAGCCAAAATAAGTGAGATACAGTTTCGTGTTTTAAAGAAAAGAATAGAATCCAAGTTAACATTTACTATTTTAATCATTGCCTTGTTGTGTGATTTGCCTTTCAAACAGGGGGCATCTTTTCTCCCCCAGGAGAAAAGACATTGCAATCCTTTACAGCCTGTTACCTTATTTTTCTTTCTTATGCAGCTTCATTCATTTCTTCAGAGGATTTCATTCAACAATAGTGCTGGAGATGAAATCACATTTAATGAACATGGAGAATTGGCAGGCGGATTTGATATTACAAACTTGGTCACTTTTCCTAATAATTCCTATATCAAGGTCCATATTGGAAGATTGGATCCTCACAAAGGATTTACTATTGATGAAGATAAAATTGAATGGGAGAGAGATTTCACTCAGGTGAGAAAATAACAATAATGTTTTTGAAAGAACAATGTTCACTTCCAATGATGCTAGTAGATCAGGACAATGATTCCTGGTCCTGAGAAGACCTTTTTGATCACACAGAAAGTTCCTCCTACAAAGAAACTAGAAAATCAGTTGAACTGGAAACATTTTTTTTTTAATTTGATTTATATGCCGCCCTTCTCCGGAGACTCAGGGCGGCTTACAATGTGCTCAGCAATAGCCTTCATCCTTTTGTATATTTATACAAAGTCAGCTTATTGCCCCCACAACTGGGTCCTCATTTCACCTACCTTAGAAAGGATGGAAGGCTGAGTCAACCTTGAGCCTTGGCGAGATTCGAACCCTGCAATAATTGCAGGCAGCTGGTCTTAATAACCAGCTTAATAACAGGGTGCCTTAAACCCTTGTACTACCAAGGCTCTCTGACTAGTCATTCTCTGACTACACAGAAGATAGTAAATTCCAAACTGGAGTTAACAAACTTAATTCCTGCATTGGTACATCATGCCCAAACAGATGAAGCAATGGAATGACTTAATGCAATAGCCTATTTCATGAAACATACTCATATGATGACCGTGTTCTAGAACAGGCAGAACCCCAATTTTATTTTGATTTTTATTTATCATATTGTGTAAACTCACTGAATGTCCATAGAGATTCTCAATCACCCAGGTCATGGTTGTCCCAAAGGTGCTTTTCCAAAAGACAGCTGGACTTCCTTGGTTTTTTGCCTTGAAAACATTTCTCTTCCCATCCTGGGGAAACTCCTTTGGAGGAGAAGAGAAACATTTCCAGGAAATTCCAGTTGCTTTTTGGGAAAGCCCCTTGGGGTAAACACACTGGGTTGCTTCAATCAAACATATGTAAGTAATAGTAACTGGAAAGAATTAGATGTCCATGTGTGTCTTAACAATCTGGAAAAAATTATTAAATCAGTGGGTTATTTTATTTTGTGCTATCTTAGTTGAAACATCCATCATTGTAGGAATGAAAATCTTCATGGAAGAGATACAGTTTCCTATTCTGGAAACACATAGTAGATGGTTCCTCCAAATACATTGAGTGAAGCATCAAATGTGAGTTGGATCCTCCAGGGATTTCCTTAATACTAGAACCATTTCTATATTTTTGGATAGGTACCACCTCTTTCCCTGTGTAATGAAAAGTGCCATCCTGGCTACAGTAAGAAAAAGAAGGAGGGAGAGAAATTTTGCTGCTATGATTGTGCTCCATGTCCAGATGGGATGTTCTCAAACCAAGAGGGTAGGATACACTATGCAAAGGTATAGAAAGTGGTTCAGGGAAAAAAATGTAAGAAACTGTTCTCCAGATTCAGTATGTATATAAAATATTTTTTAAAAAAATTAAATGATCTGGAATGCAACTTTTCCTTTATAAATATTTAGTTACCATATTTTTTGGAGTATAAGATGCTCCAGACTATAAGATGCACCTACCTTTTTGGGAGAGGAAAACAAGAAAAAAAAATCTGCCTCTGCCTCCCAGCAATTTACCTCCTTGCAGCAAGCAGCAAACAGCCTGTTTCAGCTTCAGCACTGCCTGATTAGCTGTTTCAGGCTGCAGGGATTGCCATTGCCTATTGCCACGCAGACCTCTGCTGTTTGCTGCAAGGAGGCAAATTGCTGGGAGGCAGAGGCAGAGGCAGATTTTTTTCTTATTTTCCTCTCCCAAAAAGGTAGGTGCATCTTATAGTCTAGAGCGTCTTATACTCCATAAAATACGGTAACTAAATATTTAAAAGGGTGGGAGCCAGCGGGTGGGCAGGGCTACATTTGGTGTATAAGATGCACCCAAATTTTCACCCTCTTTTGGGGGGGGTGTCTTATACTTTGAAAAATACGGTAGTTAGAGAACTCAGTTGTTGATCTCCCAACATTTCTCCATTGGCATTTGACTGTTAGAATCACTCTTTTTAGTTAAATGAACTTCACAAATAATATTTCATAATAGTTCATTTAATAACAGCCAATCATCTAATCCGGAAAAGAATTGAACAAAATAATCTAGAAACTGAATTTAATAGTTTAGGATCAAGAATGAAAAAATAAGGAGAGAGAGTAATAAATGCAATCTTATCAGCTAAAAGAAGACTTGAGTGAAGATTCATTCTGTAAAGTTGCAGATATGTCCTGGAAGAATGTGGTTGATTGTATTTGTCAACTATTTGTCCATTTCAAGCAGTGGTGGGATTCAAGTAATTTAACAACTGGTTCTCTGCCCTAATGATTTCTTCCAACAACCAGTTTGCCAAACTGCTCAGAAAATTAACAACTGGTTGTCCCGAAATGGTGCGAATTGGCTGAATCCCACCACTGATTTCAAGGCATTTTACATGAACATTTAAAAAGCAGTAGTTGTCAAGAGCTATTAGAAAACTATTTGAAGAAACTTTCTGGCTAATCTAAAGGATTTGTTCCTAAACCACGATATAGAAAGATGGATCTGTAACTTGTTCAAAAGCAAAGGCATGAAAGACAAATCACAATCTTGCCCATATACTCCAGGCAGGAAGTAAATAAAAACTGTACCTACATATAATAAGGCAACATTCAGGGCCATTGAAGATAAGAATACTTTGCTGCATTACATTCTGTGTGAATATACATCTGGGTTTCTGTGAGCATGTTACACCAGAGATTTGAATTGTTATTCTTTCTGAGTAAATTTATGATTGTTGCTTTCAGATGCAGAAATATGTCTCATTTGTCCAGAGGATCACTATCCAAACAAATTCCAGGATCAATGCCTTCCTAAAATTCCAAACTTTCTCACTTTTGAAGATCCTTTGGCTATCGCTGCAACTGTCTCAGCACTTTTACTATCTCTGATCTCACTTCTGGTACTAGGCATCTTCCTGAAGCACCATGATACGGCCATTGTGAAAGCCAACAATCGGAGTCTCACCTACACTCTTCTCATTGCCCTCCTCTTGTGTTTCCTCTGTCCCTTGTTGTTTATTGGAAGACCTAACCAAGCAACTTGCTTTCTTCGCCAGACCACTTTTGGTTTCGTCTTTTCTGTCTCCATTTCTAGCATATTAGCAAAAACGATTTCAGTGGTCTTGGCTTTCATGGCTACCAAACCAGGATCCAGGATGAGGAAATGGGTGGGGAAAAAACTGGCCTATTCCATTGTGTTCACATGCTCCATATTTCAAGCAGGAATCTGTGTTTTGTGGCTGACAATTTCCCCCCCATTCCCTGATGTGGATGTGCACTCAATGACTAAGGAAGTCATTCTTATATGTAATGAAGGCTCAGTTATTATGTTTTATTGCATTTTGAGCTACATGGGTTTTCTGACTATTATCTGTTTCACTGTGGCCTTTCTAGCCAGGAAGTTGCCAGATAGTTTTAATGAAGCCAAGTTCATCACCTTCAGCATGCTGGTGTTTTGCAGTGTTTGGTTGTCATTCATCCCAACCTATTTATGCACCAAAGGAAAATACATGGTGGCTGTGGAGATCTTCTCCATCTTGGCCTCCAGCTCTGGGTTATTCAGTTGCATCTTTTTTCCTAAATGCTATATTATTGTGGTAAGACCTGAACTGAATAATCGAGAACAGCTTATTCGAAAAAAGACATAAATGTTAGATTATGAGGGCATTATGAGGGCATGCCTTCAGGAATAAAGGGTGATTTTGAGAAGTAGTTTAAAAGAACATCTTTCCTTGATGACGTATTTATTCCTGCTGCAGTAAAGACTGATGTAGATAGGCCCTCTCTTCTCTTCTCTTCTCTTCTCTTCTCTTCTCTTCTCTCTCTTCTCTTCTCTTCTCTTCTCTTCTCTTCTCCTCTCCTCTCCTCTCCTCTCCTCTCCTCTCCTTTCCCCTCCTCCCTTCCCTTCCCTTCCCTTCCCTTCTCTTCTCTTCTCTTCTCTTCTCTTCTCTGAAACTATTTATTTCTCCTTTTTTAATCTCAGGTAGCTGCATTAATATTCCAACATGCATACAAGAAAAAAAGGAAATATAGGAAAAAATCTACTACTGTACAATTAAAAAGTCAAGTAGTAATAAATTAACAAGATCACCAAATGAATCATTTAAAGAACTTTGACTATCACAAAGGAAAGATATTCTAGTCAAGGGGTGTTAAAGTCAGACCTCCTGTGCACATGTGTGCCTGCCGGGATGGTGTGGGCTGGGCCAAAGCAATGCATGCACCTGTTGCCTCCTGCCCAGTACAATGATATTTCTGTTGCACTGAAGGTTCCTAAGGGTACAATGGCCTCCATAATTCTCAAATGGAATAAGTTTGGCACAACCAGGACTCTTCCAAGAGCTGGTTACCTGGTCAAACTGAGTAATCAGGAAAGAAAGGCCTTAGTAAGAGAGGTGTGATCAAGAATCCAATGGTCTCTCTGACTGAGCTCCAGAGATCCTGTGTGGAGATTGGACAGAGTTCCAGAAGAATAACTATCACTCAGTCCTCCACTGATCTGGGCATTATGGCAGAGTAGCTAGATAGAAGCCTCTCCTCAGCATAAAACATATGAAAGGCCACTTGGAGTTTCTAAAAAAACACCTGAATAACTCTCAGATGTTTAGGAACAAGATTCTCTGGTCTGATGAAACCAAGATTGAACTGTTTGGACTCAATTCTAACTGTTATATCTGGAGGAAACCAGGCACCACTCATTGCCTGCCCAATATCATCCCAATAGTGAAATATGGTGGTGGCAGCGTCATGCGGTGGGAGTATTTTTCAGCGGCAAGGACTGGGAGACTGGTCAGGATTGAGGGAAATTTGAATGAAGGAATATCCTCAATGAAAACCACATCACTCAGGACCTCAGACTGGGCCAAAGGTTCACTTTTCAACAAAATAATGATCAAGCCAAGACAACACAGAAGTAGTTTAGGGATAATTGCAGGGGTGTCAAACTCGATATCATTGAGGGCCACAGCAGGGTTGTGTTTGACCTTTGGGAAGGCATGGGGTGTGTGGCCAGGGTGTGTGTGGCCAGCTCAATGTCACTTGTGTCGAGGACACATGTGGTGGCCCAGGCGGGGCTGGGGGTAATCCATTGTCTCCAGCAGAGGAAGGCGAGACCAGGCACAGCGCCAAACCCTTGTCCTCCAGAGGAGCCTCGCCATCCCTCTCAGGCCATGCAGAGGACTCCCAGATAGTGGCGCAGCATGTACAGAACCCTAGGCAGCGAAAGGCAAACTCCTGGTCCGGCCCTTGATCTCCCAGGGCACTGGCACCCCATAGCCCAGCCCAGCATAGCCCCACTTTGCCAAGGTGGTGTCTGGCTGTGCTTACCTCCTCCTCGAGGCTGCTGCTGCTGTTCTCACTCTCCTTGGCCAGGTTGCACATGGGGTGTGTGGGAGGGCAAAGTGTGTAGCCCACTCCCTCTCCATACAAGGAGACCCAGCTTTGTAACCAAAGCATCATCAGTGATAGGATGAGAGACCACCAGGAGAAGTCAGGAGGAGGAGACAAGGGAATGCCAAAAAGGCAGCAGGTGTTCTGCTCCAGCTATGGATCACAAAGAACACAGCACACACAAACTCTGAACAAAACTTAGTTTACTCAAATAACACAGTTTTAGCAAATGCCGGCTGTTAATAAGTGTTCTTAACAGCCTGCCAGAATTCCACAGATAAGATAATCAGAGTTTTACTGGAGCTGGCAGAAAGCCCAGAAGCAAGGTTGCAGAGAAATCCCAATACAATGATTAGCGAACTAAAGTTGTTTCCTGCAGCTTGTTACAAGCTGCGTTCTTTCTTAAAGGGCGTGGCCAATTAGCCCCAATTGGTCTTCTCGAGAGCCTTACCTCGAGAAGACCTCCTCCTGAGGAACCACTCCTGCCTTTTGGCAGCTCTGCATGCCCGTGTATTGAGAAGAGGCTCCTCCTCTTCATCCTCTTCACTTAAAGGAGCCTCTGGAGGTTCTGAAGGCCCTGACTGAATCCCTGCCTCTGGCACCACATCTTCTTCAGCCTCCTCACTGTCCGACTCAAGCGCCAGCTGCACAGGCTGCTGGCACAGCACCACACCAACCTCCTCGTCATCAGAATCAGCAACAATCCGTGCAAGCCGCTGGCAGGCCACAACAGCAGGGCTGCTGATGGCCAAGTACTAATGCAGACTTCCCTCAGACCCTCCCTTCCTCCCTCTCATTATATTCTCCTTCCTCCCTCCCTCCCTCCCTCCCACCCTCCCTCCGTCCCTTCATTCCTTTCTTTGTCTTCTTTTTCCCTCCCTCTTCATTCTCCCTTCTTTCTTCCTCCTTCCCATCTTTCCTTCTTTTTCTTTCTTTTTGCTCTTTCCCTTTCTCCTTTTTTGTCTCTTCTTGGATGCTTAAATGCAAAAGGGGAAACATTTCTCAGTGCCTCCTTGCCTTGTGATCAACTGCCACTTTTCCTAGTAGTTTCTTAGCACTCTGCCAGCAAAAACGGAACTCAAGGGGTGCATGCCCCTCCCCCAAGCTCCACTTTTGCTGGCAGAGTGCTGCAGGGGGCTGTTTCAGCTGAAAACAGAGCTCAAGAAGGGGGTATGCAGTTCTCCCGAGCTCTGTTTTCACTGGCAGAGGCACCGTGGGCCAGTCCTTTGCTGTTACCAGGAGGCCCTGCGGGTCAGATCTAAGCACCCTGTAGCCAGATCTGGCCCGCAGGCCTTCAATTTGACACCGCTGTCCTAGAGTAGCCCAGCCAGAACCTTGATTTGAAGAATAGAATAGAATAGAATAGAATAGAATAGAATAGAATAGAATAGAATAGAATAGAATAGAATAGAATAGAATAGAATAGAATTCTTTATTGGCCAAGTGTGATTGGACACACAAGAAATTTGTCTTGGTGCATACGCTCTCAGTGTACATAAAAGAAAAGATACATTCATCAAGAATCATAAGGTACAACACTTAATGAAAATCATAGGGAACAAATAAGCAATCAAATCATATTAGAAAACAGTCAATATAAATCGTAAGGATATCAGCAACAAGGTTACAGTCATATAGTCATAAGTGGGAGGAGATAGGACGATGAGAAGATTAATAGTAATGCAGGCAGTTATAGAAGCGCAGATGACAGACTCAATAATTCCTCTGTAGAACTGTATCAGCAGCTCCATGGGCAGTTTGAGCTTTCTGAGTTGGCATAGGAAGAACATTTTTTGTTGTGCTTTTTTGATGATGTTTTTGATGTTAGGTGTCCATTTTAAGTCTTGAGATATGACAGAACCTAGTCATGGTGGGGAATGGAAGGATTTATATTCCTTACAGACAGCTGATCATTTGCATCCTTTTAGACAGTAATTGAGGCACTTGGAGGTTTATCTGTGTCCTCAGGGTCACCTGAGTAGTGCTAATGGTTCCTGTAGTCTGCAATTTTTCTGGAAATCCATTCATACTCCCACACCATTCGAAGGGTGTTCATCCCAAATTGCATAGCTAAAAGTCTATAGATAATTGTAGATAATTACTACTCAAGGCTGTAATTGGTGCTAGAGGTGCTTGAACAAAATATTAAGAGAAGGGTCTGAATACTTATGCCAATCTGACATTTCAGTTTTTTCTTCAGTTCAGTTTCAGATGTAGCAGATATGCCAAAATTTATACTATCCGTGTACAATTTTAGAAAGTTATTCTTTTCAAATTACTGCTTTAACTGCTAAAACTGCTACATGTGAAAACATAAAATATGAAACTTTTAATATACTACTTCATTTTTATGTCTTTTTTGTTCTTCTGTTGTTTAATTTAATTTTTATGTTTAATTTTTATCTGAAAAGTTTCCAAATACAAACGTTATTTAAAGAACAGTTCCTTGTCCCTTGGTGAATATATTTTGGAATTATTCACCAAGGGGCAAGGAACTGTTCTTTAAATAACGTTTGTATTTGGAAACTTTTCAGATAAAAATTAAACATAAAAATTACAATAAATTACTGTTATTGTTGTCACCAATTACAGCTATATCTGTTTATTCAGTGTTTAGTTCAGTTAATCAGATCACCTTCCCATCTTCTTTGTTTCTCCACCCCAGACCACCCCAACGATGCCCTTGATGTGATGTCCCGCTGCCTGGAGGCCGTGCGGGTCTGGATGGGGAAGAACAGGCTCAGACCCAACCCCTCCAAGACCGAGTGGCTGTGGCTTCTGGTGCCCCGATATAGTCAGCAGGTGCCATCGCTGACTATTGGGGGTGAATCTTTGCCCCCCACGGAGAGGGCTCGCAATCTGGGTGTCCTCCTGGACGCGCGACTGTCTTTAGAAGAGCATATGACGGCCGTGGCCAGGGGGGCCTTTTATCAAGTTCGCCTGATTCGCCAGTTGCAGCCCTTTCTGGATCGGGACGCCCTGCGCACGGTCACTCATGCCCTTGTTACTTCCCGGTTGGACTATTGTAATGCTCTCTACATGGGGCTCCCCTTGAAGAGCACTCGGAGGCTCCAACTGGTCCAGAATGCGGCCGCGCGGGTGGTTATGGGCGCAACCCGTTATGCCCATGTGACACCCCTCCTGCGCGAGCTGCACTGGCTCCCGGTGGTCTTCCGGATGCGATTCAAGGTGTTGGTTACCACCTTTAAAGCACTCCATGGCATAGGACCCGGGTACCTCCGAGACCGTCTTCTGCCACCAATAGCCTCCCACCGACCAGTTCGTTCCCACAGAGAGGGTCTCCTCAGGGTGCCATCAGCCAAGTTATGTCGGCTGGCGACGCCCAGGGGGAGGGCCTTCTCTGTGGGAGCCCCAGCCCTGTGGAACGAACTGCCCCCGGAAATTCGTAAGATCTCCGACCTCCAGGTGTTTCGCTGCGCATTGAAGACCCTGTTGTTCCGCCAGGCCGGACAATCAACACAATAGTTTTAAATTGGGGTATTTAAATTTATTGGGGTTTTAAATTTGAGCCACTTATTTAATTATTTTAAATTTTATATTATTGTTTTGTCTGTGTTTTTAAATAGGCTGTACACCGCCCTGAGTCCTTCGGGAGAAGGGCGGTATAGAAATAAAATTATTATTATTATTATTATTATTATTATTATTATTATTATTATTATTATTATTATTATTATTATTAAATCCTTTTTGATAACATTTTACTCTTCTGTATATGCCACTTCATTAACATTTCTGGATAAGGAAAGACATGCTTAAATCAATCAATGAACCAATGATTCATGAGAAATAACAAACTAGAATCCTTCTTTGAACTCCAATATTTTCATTTTTTTTTTAACTTTTGAGAAGATTTCATATGGCTCATTTAAACCAGCATCCAATGATCACTGGAGAAGAGCCTAATGCTGGGAACGACTGAGGGCAAAAGAAGAAGGGGACGACAGAGAATGAAGTGGCTGGATGGAGTCATTGAAGCAGTCGGTGTGAGCTTAAATGGACTATGGGGGATGGTAAAGGACAGGAAGGCCTGGAGGAACATTGTCCACGGGGACGCAATGGGTCGGACATGACTTCGCGACTAACAACAACCAATGATCAGGTCAGTTTTTCTCCTTTTCAACACATGGTTATCAGTAGAATTACTTCAGTACCAAGGACTTGCCCAATTACTTCTGTATTTCCAATGGAGGTGGATAGGACTCATGGCTATAGATGATTTTATTTTATTTTTTATTTTATTTCAAATTTATATACCGCACCTTCTCCCGAGGGACTCAGGGCGGTGTACAGCCAGATAAAAACATACAATTAAACATTAAAAACATTAAAAACAATTAAAAGGATATATATTAATTTAAAATAACAAACCAATTAAAAATATTTTAAAAATATGTTAAGCCAGACCGGCTTGCTGAAAAAAGAAAGTTGAGAATGATGAGAGTGGAACTTATTTTTTACAGACAGTTGAGCAAATGCTTCAACAGAAAGGAATCTGTCGAACTTTCTCAGAAAGATTGACAAAATATATCTATTTTCTGGATAAAGAAAGCAAGGGCAAACAACTGGATGAGTATCAAAATGACTCTAGCTAATCAATAAAGGGCTCAGTGGCTAAGACACTGAGCTTGTCGATCGAAAGGTCAGCAGTTCAGTGGTTCAAAATCCCTAGTGCTGCGTAACGGGGTGAGCTCCCGTTACTTGTCCCAGCTTCCGCCAACCTAGCAGTTTGAAAACATGTAAAAAAATGCAAGTAGAAAAATAGGGACCACCTTTGGTGGGAAGGTAACAGCATTCCGTGCACCTTTGGTATTTAGTCATTCCGGCCACATGACCATGGAGACATCTTTGGACAGTGCTGGCTCTTCGGCTTTGAAACGGAGATGAGCACCGAACCCTAGAGTCGGGAACGACTAGCACATATGTGCGAGGGGAACCTTTACCTTTACCCTTACTCAATAAAAATGTCCAGTTGTCATGATTCAACCTTCAGACACTTTTGTCCAGATAACTGAGAGTCTTCATTGACAGGCTTGTACTGGCATTTCTGGATAAGAAAATATGTGCTTAAATCAACCAATAAAGCAATGACACCTGAGGTGGTGGTGGGGACCTAGAATCCCTGTTTGAACTCTGAAATTTTCACTTTTTTTCTTTTTTCTTTTTAGATTTCATATGGCTCATTTCAACCAGCATCCAATGATTGGATCCATTCTGCTCCTTTTCTCCGTATGGTTCCCAGTGAATTACTTCAGTACCAAGGACTTGTCCAATTGCTTCTGTATTTCCAATGGAGATGGCTTGGACTCATGGCTACAGATGATGAGAATGGAACGTATTTCTTATGGACAGTTGAGCAAATGCTTCTACAGAAAGGAATCTGTCCAGCTTTCTCAGAAAGGTTGACAAAACATATCTATTTTTTTGATGAAATAGGTACAATGATCTTTGAGAGAATGGACATTTTGAAGAATTTTATGCTAAGTACAGCTAAAGTTGTCCTTGTTCATGGAGAAACTGCATCCATTATTTGGTTGGCAGTCGCTATACAAACAACTCAGACCATGCAATATATATTCCCATGGGAAAAGGAGAAGGACAGTCCAAAAAGGGTATGGGTTACTACAGCCCAAATTGATTTCACTTTATTTCACTTTCAAAAGATTATTGATGTTAAACCCCAAATCTTCCATGGAGCTCTTTCTTTCAACATTCACGCAATGCAAATTCAAGGTTTTCAACAATTTCTTGAGACTGTCAATCCCTTTTGGGAAGAAAAAGATGGTTTTATCCATGAATTCTGGTCACAAGCATTCAACTGTTTCCTTTTCAAAATCAATGTGTTAAGTCTCGCCTTTCTACCATGTAATAGAAAGAAAACCTTAAAGGATCTTCCTGCACCATACTTTGAAATGAGCATGCTTAGTCATAGTATCTATAATGCTGTCTATGCATTGGCTCATACCTTACATGCAATGTACTCAACCAGAGTCAACCACAGACCATTGGAACATGGAGGAATATAAAACCTTGGCAGGTAATATTACTTGAATGACAAAAGGCAATAAAAACCTTTTTAAAAACCTGACAAGATCCTGCTGACCTTTTCTGTACTTCGATGCTAAGTGGGGTCATATCCAGTTGGTGCTTTAATTGGACATCCAAAAATTATAGGGTAGGTACTGAAACACAAAATACCTCCATAGTGTTTCCAAAAGCTTGCATGGACTTTTTAATAACAGTATGACAGAACAACAGAGTTGGAAAGGGACACTGAAGGTCTGGTAGCTATTACCTATAAGGTAACCATAGGCATGTATCCATGACATCTTCCTGATCTCCCAAACTTCTTCATTTCTGGGGCAGTCTACCATACTTTCCTCTGGTAATTTGTCCATTTGACAAAATTCAGTCTTTTTCTGGAACATTTGGAATTGAGATATTTCTATAGAGGAATTAATGCAGTGTGTGTGGAAAACAGCTATCCCCTGCTCCTCATGAAGGACATGCTAGCCCACTATTGTGACCCAGGCCCAAGTAAGTAGTAATCGATGCAAACAGTTCCAAAACAAACAGACTTTATTAGAACAGCTGAGAATTAACTTATTCTCAGCATAGTCCAAACTAAATTAAAACAAACTCTTCATAACACAAATTCTTCAGTCTAATCACCAACCTTGGTATAATTGGGCAAACTGCCCAAGGCTTCTCTTGGCAAAAGTTCAAAAACAGAAGATGCCGACAAGAAATAAGTGTAGCAAGACTATCAACGTTGTTTTCCTACAAAGAGCCCAAGAGCCATTGCTGGTCTTTTAAGCCTTATGGGAAGGGCCAATCATCTCTTGGCCCTACTCCTGAATCGTCCTCTTTGCTATAGCTGCTCTTGCTTTCTGGCAGCTCTTCTCATACGTGCACTAGGAACAGGCTCCTCCTATTCCCCTGCCATTGTCAGCCTCTGGAGGCTCCGGAGTCCACATATCACTCCTCGATGGCCCTGGCCCCATCTCTGCCTCTGATGCAGAGCCCTCATCCAGGCCTTCCCCAGCCTCCAGGACTGGCCCATGTACTTCCTCAGCTGCATCTCGGTCTGACTCCAGTGCCAGCTCCACAGGCTGCTGGCAAACCACAACACCCACCTGACAAAAGGAAAGATGTTCACCAAGCTAAACCTGTGGGAGGCATACTATTGAGTGTGAATCAAAGAAGGTGATGAATGGAAGACTGCCTTTAACTGCCCTTTAGGCAACTTTCAATTGCAAGGTAATGCCTTTCAGACTACAGGGGACCCCCACAGTCTTCATGCAATTAATAAATGAGGTGCTGCATGAGCACCTATACAAAGGAGTCCTCGTGTACTTGGTTGACATTTTGATCTTCACCGAAACCCTAGAACCATTATGGCGAACCTATGGTACACATTCCTGAAGTGGCACTCGGAGCCATATCGCCTGGTACACATGGCATCTTCCAGGTTTCTGACACACATGCACACACGACAATCAGCTGGTCTTTTTGCATGCAGCAGTGCTGGGAACTAGAAGAGCTGGTCTTCCATTTTCCTGTGTGAGCATGTGTGCTGGCCAGCTGATCGTCATGTGTGCATGTGTGTCAGAAACCTAGAAGAGTAGCTGGCTGAAACCGGAAGTTCAGTAGCTGAAACTGGAAGTTCATTTTTGGGCGCACGCATGCACCCTGGGCAGCTCCTCTTCTGGGTTGCAGCCCTGATGCGTGCACTCCCTTTTCGGAACTCGGTGCCTAAAAAGTTCACCATCACTGCCCTAGAAGATCACATCAAACTGGTGCACCAGGTCCTGAAAAAACTCCTCATGGCTTAACTGTATGCAAAGCTGTCAAAATGTGAATTCCATAAGACCCGCCTGGACTACCTGGGCTACTGAGTGTCAAATGAGGGGGTGGAGGTGGATCCAGCCAAAGTCAAAGTGGTCCTAGACTGGCAGACCCCACGCACCAGAAAGGAGCTTCAGAGCTTCCTGGGGTTCACAAACTTCTTCTTCTTCTTCTTCTTTTTTGGTATTTTTTTTAAGACAAACAAACATTTGCAGCTGTTATTACATGTATAATCAAATATACATTTTCCTTACTAATTTTTTCTGGAAAGATACCCAGTAGGAACAACTGTGGTTTAAATTTAATACATTGTTGTATCATTTCTTCCAGCCAGATTTTAATCTTGTACCAGTAATTTTTTGCTTCGGGACAAGTCCACCACATATGATAACAAGATCTTGGTGTTTGATGACATTTCTAGCACTTATCTGATTTATCTTTAAACATTTTTGCTAACTTCTCTGGTGGCATATGCCATCTATAAAACATTTTATATTGATTTTCCTTATATGCTGTGGACATTGTTAATTTATAATTCCTTTCCCATAGTTGTTGCCATTTTTCAAGCTCGATTGGATAACCAAAATTTCTACTCCAGGCTACCATAATTTATTTGGGTTCGCAAACTTCTATCGACAGTTCATCCCCACTCCTTTACTGAAATCGCCTGCCCATTATGGAACTATTGAAGATGGGGGGGAGCGGGTCTGCAACAACCATGGCTTAGCCAACCCCTAAACTGGACCAACGGGCATTCGATAAGTTAAAGACCTTGTTTGCCAAGAAGCCAACCCTTAGGCACCCTGACCCAGAAAAAACCTGTCGTTCTACCCATCCAAGATATTACTATGGTTCATTCTGGAATGTTGGCATGGTTGCAATAATTCTGTAAGCAAAATAAGTTCCTTTGAATGTTCTATCAATCAACATGTTTACTTAAGCATGGAAGACATCACACCTTAATTTCCCTTCAGTTGTCAAAAATACTGTAATTAGTTTACCACATCAAAACTCTAGTGGCTTTTAACTGAACAAAACATCCAGCAATGAAGTTTTCAATGGAGATAAAGAACGGTTACAGTTGGGCAGAATAGTTGTCAGGGACTTTGATCCTTTCAGTCTCTTTATGTAGTGAGTCTTTTAAGAAGCGTTTTGGCCAAAGAAAATGCTTTGCTAAAGCTTAAAGCCAGCTTATCTTAATATAAGATCCAGAGATACCAGAAATGGTGCTTCCTCATAGTTTGAAAGATACAAGATTTGGTAGAATTTTTGCCCAATGGTTGATGAAGATTGTAATCATGCTGCTGTCCCAAAGAGCAATCAAAGCACAAACAATTAAATGCACTAGAACTGATGGCCTTCGTATTCAGCATGAATGGTACCAGGCAGGGGAGCTCCTCATTGGTGGAATGGTGTCACATGTTCATTATCTGTTCCCTAAATTTTCTTTCACCCAGTACCCTTCTCGGGAGTCAATTCAAATTTCACTGTAAGTATTTGTTTCCTCCCCTAATATATACTATTAGTTTTGGTTTTAATCAAATGGTTCCTCTTAATTAAAATTTCTAGTTACAGTATCATGTAGATAGTTCTATCATAAAACTAAATGAGAATATTTGTATCTCTTGTACATCAGGGTGTCAAACTCATGGCATCGTCACATGATGTATTTTCCCCCTTTGCTAAACTGGGTGTGGGCGTGGCCAACACATAGCGTATCTGGCCCGCCGGCCATTAGTTTGACAGCCCTGTTGTAGATAGTCCTATCATACCACTAAATGAGAATATTTGTATCTCGGAGTCTAAACTCAGAGAGCACCAAGGAGACCTCAGTTCTATTTTATCTTTATTTAGAGATAGATTAGAGATAGATAGATAGATAGATAGATAGATAGATAGATAGATAGATGGGTGGGGTGGGTGGGTGGGTGGATGCAGAGCTGGTATTCAGCCAGTTAGGACTGGTTCACATTTGCAAACCGGTAGGGAAGGTAAGTGAATACTACCCCTGGATGGATGGATAGATGAGATGGATAGATGGATAGATGAGTAGACGGACAGATTGACTGATTGATTTACAACATTTAGCGACTGAACCAGAGACTGAACAGAAAATCTCAATTTTTAAGGGAAAATGTTAACACAGAGGCAATCTCTTTTTTTGCATGTGCATGAAGGCAAGTGCTCTCTTCTAACAAGACAAATTTACATCTTTAAAGATTGATGTCATCTCCTCTTTTCCAGCTTATCCAGGCTTCTTAAATAGAATGTATGCAGTTGATCAGTTTCATTCTCTTGCTCTCCATTTGTTCCTAATTAATTACATTTTTTCTTTAGCGACAGCATCTAAAATTAAATTCATATGACGAATGGAAAATAAAATAGCAACAAAGGAGAACATTTGCAGCTCAGTATTGAAAGAGGGGTCTTTGGTGCTCTCTGAGCTTGGTTGTTTTCGTACAGATGTTTCATTACCCAAACTAGAGATAGTTTTGAGATAGTATCGAAACCTGACAGTAACATCATTAGTTGTAGCCCTTATCCCGGACCAGCACTGATGATATTATTTAGTTTGGGTAATGAAACATTTGCAAAAAGGCACCACCAAAGAGCACCAAAGGAGAATAAAATGTCTAGTACTTCATTAAAATGTAGAAGTCTATATGGATTCCGGGAAATGTAATCTTAAAGGGAAATCCCTTAGTCCAATAAAAATGCCACAAAACTTTCTTTGTTAGGCTGGGCTTTTCCCATCGCATTCAGAGAGATAAAATGTGATAGAACTATTTTATGAAGGCAGGTTGCTTTATTTTCAGCGTGGTGACAAAGTTCTACCAACACGTCTTGGCCTTAGTGTTTGCCATTAATGAGATCAATGAGAATCAACAGATCTTGCCAAATGTTACTCTTGGATTCCACATCTATGACAGCTACTCTGAATCAAAGATGACCTATCAAAGTTGCCTGGATCTGCTCTTCAAATTCCATACGATTGTCCCCAATTACATATGTCAAACTAAAAGAAAAGTTGTAGGGATCATTGGAGGATTGAGTTCTGATACATCTTCATGCATGGCAGATATTTTTCACCTTTATAAAATTCCGCAGGTAGGATCTAATGTATCAGTTGAAGTATCAATCATAGATCATTCCCTCTGTTTGCTGCTTCTTATAATCATCCCAATGATTTAAAATAAGATGCATAAATGAATAAAAAATACAAAAGCCAGAATAAAATGTGGAATTCCAGTATTATTTCACTTATTGTGGAAATTGTGGAAATCTTTGGGGAAAAGTGTATTTTTGAGGGTTTTTGGGGAGTTTCATGAAAACCATATTCCACTGCTGGAATGGTCTGGGAATAGCCCAGACTTTAACCCAATTGAAAATCTATGGAGCCGACTAAAGAAACTTGTTAGTCAGAAGCGACCCAGCAATAAAACCCAGTTAATAGAAGCAATCATTCCATCATGGTTTCACATTAGAACAGCTGCAGAACTAAAAGACTTGGTTCACTCCATGGGAAGACATTGTAAGGCCATAATTCATGCTAAAGGTTACCCAACTAAGTATTAACTGACATGATGATCATTTTTGTTTATCTCGTTTTTTCTATGGTGATAATTTTTTCTATGTGTTTCACTTTTCTTCTTTATACTGTAACTGCTATTCTAATAGCAAATCCTTCCTAAAAGTTATTGCATTACATTCTTGATTAAATTATCTTTCCATTGATATATAATTTTATGGTACTACTCCAAAAAAAAGTGGTGTTATTAGCTAGTTTTAGAAAATACACTTTCCCCAAACAGTTTCCACAATTTTGGCCACTACTGTATTAAGGATATAGTTATATCCAGAAAATGTGGTTGTAATATAGACTTTTTTATTTTTGTAAGAAGTCATAATTAACTTGGTTCCAGTGGACATCATCCATAGATGATTAAATCTGAATACTACTTTCAGTAACAAATCATCTGGGTTTCAACTAAATAGAAAAAATAATTTACTCTTGATATATGTGAGGGGAAAAATACATTGTCTATGCTCTTAAATCAAAATTTTACATAGATGTAGAAGAAAAAGATCTGCTTTCTTAAAAAAGTTTTTCATTTTTTATTTTTTACAAACATATCAATGCCTCAACAGTGTGGCGCCTGAATGTCATACATTTTGATACAAATAAAATAGTATTAATTGTGTTTGTTTCATTTAACAAGTTTATATAATTCTATTAATAATATACATATTTTTATTAAATTATAATCTTTCATTATTTAGTTATTCAATATTTCAATGTGTCATTTTTATGCCAATCACCCTATTCCAAGTGTCATATCTTTTAATACAAATAGAATATTATTAATCAGATTTATTACATTTAGCAAGCTTATATAATTCTAATAAAAATACAAACATTTATGTTAAATTAAAATCTTCCATTATTTGCTTGTTCAACTTATACTCCTTCATTATTTCAAGTATGTTATTTTTATGTCAATCACCATATTCCACCTGTCATACATTTTAATACAAATAAAATATTTTTAATCATATTTATTATATTTAGCAAACATACACATTCATATTGAATTATAATCTTTCATTATTTATTTCATGCAAATTCTAATTAATAGAATACACAGTCTTATATAATAATAAGAGGGGAAATTAGAATTCGAAAAAGATCTGCTTTTTTACTTGATTTCAGTGGGGCAAATAAAATGAAAACGGTTCCTTAATAAAGAGGAATACAAAAAGTTGCAATAAAGGATTTCTTGTTTTTTTTGTTCTTGGCTGTGTGTGTGTGTGTGCGCGCGCGCGCCTTCAAGTCAGTCTTGACCTCTGATGACTTCCTTGAGAAGATCCTACAGTTTCCCTGACAAGATTTCAAAAATGGTTTGCCATTGCCTGCTTCCTAGGGCTGAGAGAGAGTGACGGGCCTGAGATCACCCAACTGGCTTTATATCTCAAGCAGAACTAGAATTCACAGTCTCCTGATTTTCTAACCTAATGTTCTGCCCCAGCTCCAGATTCCCGAGGATATTGACACACACCAACGGTCCTTATCAAATTTATTAAGTAGCAAGAATAAACCAAAGTCCGGCAAAGGTTGACAACCAGTCCAGAAAACAAGATACGATAAGACTTTTCCAAAAATGCTCTGATAATTACAAGTTGTTTCCAGCAAGAAACTTACTAAAGGCGTGTGACTTAAATAGGCTAAGGGAGTGGCCAATTATCCTCAAGCCTTACTCTCGAGGAGACCTCCTCCTCCTGAGTAGCCACTCCTACCTTTTGGCAGCCCTGCGTGCTCAAACATTGAGAAGAGGCTCCTCCACTTCTCTCTCCTTTAAAGTTTAAAGTATATAAAATAAATCTAACTATTCCCATTGTGTTCCTTTCTCATTCTCATGTTTCATTCTTTTCTTCCCCTAGATTTCTTATGGGTCATTTGAATCTAAAGTCACTACCGAATCACATTTCCCTTCCTTCTATCGTATGGTGCCAAATGAAGTCCTTCAGTATGAGGGTTTAATCCAGCTCCTTCTACATTTCAGGTGGAAATGGGTAGGACTCATCACCATAGACGATGAAGCTGGAGAACATTTCTCAAGGTCTCTGGAGCAAAAGCTTTTGCAGAATAAAATCTGTTTAGAGTTTGCCGAGAGACTTGACAAAATTATGCATTTTGGTGACTTTCTCCAAATGGTGGACCAAATAGTGAGACATATTCACATATTTACAGAGAAAAAAGCCAATGCAGTCATTGTATATGGGGAAACTATAGCCTTTATATGGGTAGCATCTATTGCAGTAGCCACAAGTCTCTTTCCAACCGATTCCGAACATAAAGAGAAAATCTCTACAGGAAAATTATGGATCACAACTGCGCAGATAGATTTCACATTGCATACTGTGCACAAAGGACTTAATATCCAGATGTTCCATGGGGCTCTTTCCTTTGCAATTCACTCCAAACAGATTTTGGGCTTCCAGAAATTTCTTCAAAAGATCAAGCTTGCTAATGCAAAGGGAAACGGCTTTATCAAACATTTCTGGGAGCAAGCTTTTGACTGCTATGATCCTAATTCTGACCAAGCGAGAAACATCGATGAGGCATGCACTGGGGATGAGAGGCTGGAAGATCTCTCTGCATTTTATTTTGAAATGAGCATGACTGGCCACAGCTACAGCATTTACAATGCAGTTCATGCTTTGGCACATTCTTTACATGCTGCTCATACATCTAGTTTGAAGCACAGAGTTAGGCGGGAAGAAGCCAAGGAGTCATTCCAGAATATATACCCCTGGAAGGTAAAGTTTATGAAATTTGCCTGGAATTCTCTCCATCAATATAATAGAATAGTACAATATCAAATTTCTCATTGCAACTCTTCTTAGTTAATTACAATAGTTTGTTCAAAGATTACAGCTATTTGTCAGGTTATATTGACAAATGAACCAAGGCCTTGCCACAATGGGACATTGTCATAAACCAAATATCACATGATTTTATTGCTCAACGACAGCAATTCTGGCAGTTCTAGTTGCCATCATTAAAATGAAGACTAAGCATGTTGTAAAGCCAGGCCCTCGCATGATTGCAACTTCTAAATTCCTGCTGGCTTCCCCATTGATCTGCTTGCTTGGAAACCAGTAGGGAATGACAGAAATCATGATCACATGACCATTTATTTATTTATTTATTTTTAGTTTGTCAAACATGTACAAGATTGCAGGTATGCATATGAACATGGACATGAACGAAAGAAATGAATACAAATAAATGGGGACAGTAGGAGAAGGATAGTAGGCAGGCTGGTGTGCTTATGCATGCCTTATTTACAAACCTCTTAGGAATGGGGTGAGGTCCAAGGTAGACAGTTTAAGGTTGAAGCTGTGAGGTTTTGAGGATGTAACAATGGAGTCGGGTAAAGCATTCCAAGCGTTGACCATTCTGTTGCTGAAGTTGTGTTTTCTGCAATTGAGTTTGGCACAGTTTACCTTGAGTTTGTATCGATTGTTTGCCCGTGTATTATTGAGCTTGAAGCTGAAGAAGTTGTTAACAGGTAAGATGTTGTAGCAGACAATTTTCTGTACTATGCTTAGATCAGACAGCAAGCGGCACAGTTCCAGATTATCCAAGCCCAAAATTTCAAGCCTGGTAGCATAATGGATTCTATTGTGAGTAAAGGAGTGGAGTACTTTTCTGATGAAATACCTCTGGACCCACTCAATTGTATTAATGTCTGATATACAGTATGGATTCCAGGCAGATGAGCTGTATTCGAGAATTGGTCTGGCAAAGGTTTTGTATGCCCTTGTAACTCACTGTTGTGGCCCGTCAGCAGCCTGTGCAGATTGTAGCTGATTCTGACAATGACGAGGCTGGAGTGGTGCTGCGTCAGCAGCCTGTGCAGCTGGCGCTCGAGTTGGACAGTGAGGAGGCTGGAGAAGATGTGGTACCAGAGGCAGGGATTCAGTCAGAACCTCCAGAAGCTCCTTTAAGTGAAGAGGACGAAGAGGAGAAGCCTCTTCTCAATGCACGGGCGCGCGAGCTGCCCAAAGGCAGGAGTGGTTCCTCAGGAGGAGGTCTCCTCGAGAGTAAGGCTTGGGGCTAATTGGCCACTCCCTTAGCCTATTTAAGGAGGAACACCGTTTGCAGCAAACTGTAGGGAACAACTTTAGTTCACTCTCCTTCGCATCTGGATTCTCTGCAGAATTGCTTCTGGGCTTTTTGCCAACTCTAGTAAGACAGTGATTACCTTATCTTAGAATTCTGGTAGGCTGTTAAGACAGTTTATTAACAGCCTTTGGTTGATAAAGACTCAGTTATTTGAGTAAAATAAGCTTTGTATAGAGTTTGTGTGTGCTGTGTTCTTTGGGGTCCGTAGCTGGGGCAGAACACTCACTGTAACATTATGATCGCAAGCTGAGCACCAAGAAGCCACATCATGATAATGTCACCACAGAGATGCTGAAATGGTTGGGACTCCAAGGATCTGTCATCAGTCCCCCCCCCCCCTATTAAACACTTTTGAACAGTCATTGAACAAATAGTTATGACCTAAGGACTACCTGTATAGTATTGAAAGCACTAAGCATGTTATCCTGTGTTTATTTGCTACACTTCAGCAGTCTTATTTTGGTAGAGTGGTTTGAAAGAACTTACTTGGGGGAAAACAATCAGAATTCATACAGAATAATCTTCCTGGTTAGACAGGAAGATAGGAAAGAACCCAGCCCTATCTAAACCCAGAATTTTTTTTTACATATGATTAGAAATTCCCATCCTTTTGCCATTCTAAATGTAGGAAAGTTAGAAGTGTAATTCCATGAGTTTGGGGTTTAGAGGAACAAAATAGAATTATGCTTATGTATATTAATGTAGTCTTTTTTCCTCTGTTCATTTTCTATTCCTCATTATATGGTAATCTTAACATTCCTTAAACAATTGAGATCTCATAGTAGAGAAATCAAGTGATATGCATCACAACTGATTCATTTCCAGAAGTAGCACCTAAAAAGCTAAATGCTACTCATCAGTAACTGGCTTTTTTTTTTTTACTTTTCTCTTTTATTGGTAGGAAATAGACATCTTAATCCATCCAGATAAATTATTGGAAATAGTAGTTCTTTAATAATACTCTTTTCACTTCTTTTCATACCGTATCCCACTCTGTCTCTTATTAGCTACATTCATTTCTGCAGAGGATTTCATTCAACAACAGTGCTAGAGATGAAATTACATTCAATCAACAGGGTGAATTAGTAGCTGGATTTGACATTATGAACTTGGTCACATTCCCAAATAAATCTTATGTAAAAGTCCAAGTTGGGGAGCTAGACGCCCCATGGAAAACCTTCATGATTAAGAAGGACCAAATCCAGTGGAACCAAAAATTCACTCAGGTGGGTGTCTCAATGGCATGATCTTCACTGACAGAATTCATGCATAACCTGTGTCACATGCTTAGACTTCCCATGTGTCACAAATCAGCATATAAGAGATATAGTTTTAAATAAGAGCTGGTAAGACTACCTCTCCAAAGTCACTTCAAAGTGACTTTGAAAAAAATGAATCATTTCTGCAGGCTAATTATTGCTAGTTTTTTTTTTTTATTTATTTAGCATTTGTATTGTATTGCAGAAAGCAAATATGGCTAAGTACTCAGAGTCATTGGGTAGTGGCAGTGTGCAAATTAAGTGAATGAATGAATAAATATGAATCAATCAATCAATCAGCAAATCAATGAACAGGCAATCCTTTGCACTGGCCAAGGCAAAAATGTGATATTTCATTCCTGAATTGTGTGCGTGAAAGTTAAAGGGACTTGAGTTAAAACAAACTTTCTATGGACATAAGTATTCTGACCATAGTCCTTGTTAAGCAGTTGCCTCAGATAGTGATTGTTTGCAATTACATGCAGTTACAATGATGAAAAAGTAAGTTTACAAGCGAAACCTGCATTTATGACCTTCACGATGCCTCTCAGCCACATTTACCATTAATACATGGATGTGTATTCCTTATTGTGTGCCTGCTTACTCTCTTGCAATCCCTTTCTCTCCAATGAATGTAAATACAAACAATACTTCTGTTCTTGCCAATTATTCCAAGGGCAATGGAATGGTAGGGAGAAGGCTATAAGATTTGTCCTTTTACCTGACTTTCTACTTAGTCTAGTTCCAGAAATCTTCCCCATTGTCTGGGCTCAGCCAGTTGTTAGATTCACGTTCTTCTGATACTGTAAAGCAAAAGAAACCTGAAATAAAATAATAAGCGCAGCCATACTCATGGGACTTTTCACTTAGTGTCTGCTTTGCTTAACGATCAAGTCACCAATTCCAATCACTAAAATATGACTACCTATATGCCTCAATTGCTCTCCCAATATCTAGTCCATCCACGTGCTTATAAATGTTAAATACTGGGAATTCATTTACCATAAAGGAAATTCAAAGACTGTCTTTCTAATAATGGCCCCTTCCTATTTTTAAATAGGTGCCACCTCTTTCCTTATGCAATGACCCTTGTCCACCTGGATACCGAAAGACAAAGAAGGAAGGGAAAAAATTTTGCTGCTATGATTGTGCTCCATGTTCAGAAAGAATGATCTCAAGTGAGATGGGTAAGAAAAATAAGATAAAAATAAAACTGCCACATTATTTTATCATAACTGCACATTTTACAGTGCATTTTAATATTTATTTTTAATTGTAATAATACAGTAATCAATTTATTTAAATGCACATGTGCATTAGCACTTTTTATGTGAGTATCCATTGGTGTGTCTGTATTTCTGTACATGCTAAAGCAAGATATGGATATCCATCAAAAATTACATGATCCAGAACCAAGGTAGCATGAAAAGGAGAATGAAGAATTTCAGATAGGACCATTATGGTGGAATCCTTGTGACCATGTAATTGGCATAGGAAAAGAAGGAATGTCAGTATAGGTAGTCCTAACATTGAAATGATAATTGGGACTGGGATTGATATGACTAAATCATATCAATCCCAGCACAAGCACAATATCACATAACATAAGGAGCCTGAGTGGCGTAGGAGGCTAATGCCTCCTAAGGCCGCATTTAACATCCAGCTGCCTGCAATTACTGCGAGTTCAATTCTCCCCAGGCTCAAGGTCGACTCAGCCTTCCATCCTTTCTAAGGTAGGTAAATTGAGGACCCAGTTTGTGGGGGCAATAAGATGACTTTGTATAAATATACAAAAAGTATGAAGGCTATTGCTTAACGCATTGTAAGCCGCCCTGAGTCTCCGGAGAAGGGCGGCATATAAATCAAATTAAAAAAAAAAACCTGCACCACTTATCAATGGTAATCTCAGGGGGTCTAGGACAATTCATCAGGGCCACCTCATCATGGCCAACTCATTTCTGCCAACTCACTGCAGGACAATTCACTACAGAACAAGACTTATACTAAGATTAAAGAAATCTTGGAGTAGAATCATTAAAGAGAGGATGGAAAGGTAGTGACAACATGAAATGGGAATGACAAATTAAAATTATTTTAAAATTATTTTAAATAGTTGAATTGAATTGTTGAATTTTCCTACGGTTGTCAACTCACAAAGCATCCCTGACCTCTCTCGAATTGCCATAGACCAGTGGGGATGGGAAACCAGTGAAACGGCACAGCAGCCAAAGACAGATGCACATTCTAGACTTATCTCTCTCAGGGCTGTATCCCAAGGTTACCCACAGCAGCCAGAGGGGAATGACCTCTACAACCCAAGAAATTGCTCAGTTGGCAAATGTGGTTGATGACATACCCTGGGGGGAGGGGGGAAACAGGGTCATGATTGGGGCTAAATTACTTAGGGTCAGAGCTGGCTTCACTTCAGTACATGCCGACATGAAGCTCCTAATAAATACCTGGATTTTTTTTAAGCTTAGCTCGAGGCTCATGATTTAATTAGGGCATCCATCAGAACCCTGACAACAGTGGGTTGTCCCATGTCAAGTTGGCCATGGTGAATTGTCCCATGCTGAGTTGGCCACAGCGAATTACCCACAGCAAGTTGTCCCATTCTGATCTCAGTAGTCCCAGTTACTATTGTAACCCAGAAACCATGTGGGTCATTAAGAAAGGACCAAACATGACTGCAGTCTTAAGAAAACAAGACAGCAGTTAAGGGTTGCAGATGAATAGACATTGCAAGCAGGTACTTTGGAATATAAGCAGGTTGGAGTTGATGCTATAGAGCCATGATGGCAAACTTATGGCATGCGTGCCACAGGTGGCATGCAGAGCCATATCTGTAGGCATGCGAGTATTGCCCCAGCTCAGCTCCAGCGCGCATGCACTCACCGGCCAGCTGATTTTTGGGCTTTCCGGGCCCACTGGAAGTCAGGAAATGGGCCATTTCCGGCCTCCGGCAGGGGTGGCTATAGGCAAGGCCATTTTTGCCCTCCCCAGGCTCCAAAAAAGCCTCTGGAGCCTGGGGAGAGTGAAAAACAGGCCTTCCAAGCCCACTGGAAGTTGGGAAACCGGTCATTTCCGGCCTCCGGAGGGCTTCCAGGAGGGTGAGGAAGGCTGTTTTCACCCTCCCCAGGCTCCAAGAAAGCCTCTGGAGCAGGGGTGGGTTCTAAAATGTTTTACTACCGGTTCTGTGGGTGTGGCTTATTTTGTGAGTGTGGCTTGGGGGGGTGGTAATGTGACTGGGTGGACGTGGTCAACTTTTTTTTTTTAACTTTTAAAAGCATTTTTTCTACAACCTTAAGAGGTTGCAGAAAAAAAATGCTTTTAGAAGTCTCTAATGATCAGGCAAATCTGCTGGGATCGCCAGACGCTTTTAAAGGGATTTTTTTTCCTACAATCTCTTCGGCTGAAGAGGTTGTAGAAGAAAATACTTTCAGAAGCCTTTGACGATCCCAGCTGAGGTGCACGATCGTCAGAGGCTTTTTTTTTTAACTTTTAAAAGCATTTTTTCAGCCAAAGAGGTTGTAGAAAAAATGCTTTTAAAAGTTTTTTTTAAAAAAGGCCTCTCATGAGGTGGGCGGGGTAAGCGAGCAGCAACCAGGCCGGGGACCGGTTCGGGGTCGTGGCCAGCCAATGTTATTATCGGTTCTCCAAACTACTAAAAATTTTTACTACCGGTTCTTGCGAACCAGTGCAAACTGGGAGCAACCCACCACTGCTCTGGAGCCTTTTTGCCGTTGTGTGCCAAAAGTAGGGGGAGCATAGGGGGGTCACACATGCATGCATGGGGGGTGGGGCATGGGGGCATTTAATTATGGATGTGGGCATGCATGCGCATGACCCCCCTGCGCTCCCCCTGCTGTTGGCACGTGATGGCAAAAAGGCTAACCATCACTGCTATAGAGCATCAGCCAGCAGGGGCCGCTATGGAGCATAGGTGAGCAAGGGGTGATATAAACTATAACTATCAATATGGTAATATGGACTATACAGTTTACCACAGGATATGAAATAAATTCCAAAGCACCACAAGATAAAGTAGCTTCCAGTCCAAAGGATGATTGGTGTTCTTTCCAAATAATCTTATCTTCTTCTATTTCCAGACACGGAAAATTGTAAGGGTTGCTCCAAGGATCTTTTTCCAAATGAAGCTCGGGTACAATGTATTCCTAAGAAACTGAACTTTCTGACTTTTGAAGAATCCTTGGGCATTACTTTCGCTGCTTTGAGTCTTTTTTTCTCTCTTACTACAGGTCTTGTCCTTGCGATCTTCATTAAGCAAAGGGATAGTCCTATTGTCAAAGCCAACAATCGTAACCTCACCTATGTTCTCCTTATCTCTCTCCTCCTTTGTTTCCTTTGTTCAATTCTGTTCATTGGAGAGCCAAATAAGTCGACCTGCGTCCTCCGCCAAATGACATTTGGCATCATCTTCACTGTTGCTATTTCTTCTATTTTGGCCAAAACCATCACGGTCGTTGTAGTATTCCTAGCCTCAAAACCAGGAAGCCTATTCCACAAATGGGTGGGGCAAAAGTTGGCCTATTCTATTGTCTGCTTCTGTTCCTCCATTCAAGTAGGTATTTGTATTGTTTGGCTGGGTACTTCTCCTCCATTTCCCAATTTGGACATGGAGACACTCCATGGAGAAATCATAATGGAATGTCACGAAGGCTCCATCACCATGTTTTACTGTGTCTTGGGCTACATGGGCCTCTTGGCTCTTCTCAGCTTTACTGTGGCCTTCCTAGCCAGGAAGTTACCAGACAGTTTCAATGAAGCCAAGTTCATTACTTTCAGCATGTTGGTTTTCTGTAGTGTTTGGCTGACCTTTGTCCCTACTTACCTGAGCACCAAAGGGAAGTACATGGTGGCTGTGGAGATCTTCTCTATCTTGTCTTCCAGTGCTGGCTTACTGGGATGCATCTTCATCCCCAAAATCTATATAATTATATGGAGGACTGAGCTCAACACTAGAGAGCATTTAATACACAAGAAATAGAACAAGAACAAGGCTGAATCTCAAATGTGCTTTTTCAAAAGACAACCGGACTATTTTTTCCTTGAGGAAGAAGAACGAAATGTTTTATTTCTCATCCAAGAAACTTCATCAGTTGTGATGGTGGAGAGATGGAAGGATAGGTTCTGATAGGATGGTGGGAGTGGAGATGGAAGGATTGCATTTCTTTGCTGCCTTCTGGTCTTTAACACTCTCTCACAAGGGGATAGATAGAGAGATAGAGAGACAGAGAGATAGAGAGATAGAGAGATAGAGAGATAGAGAGATAGAGAGATAGAGAGATAGAGAGATAGAGAGATAGAGAGATAGATATGAGAGACAGAGAGAGAGAGAAAAAGAGGGGGGGAGGGAGAGAGGGAGAGGGAATTCTTTATTGGCCAAGTGTGATTGGACACACAAGGAATTTGTCTTGGTGCATACGCTCTTAGTGTACATAAAAAAAAGGATTCATTCATCAAGAATCACAAGGTACAATACTTAGTGATAATCATAGGGTACAAATAAGCAATCAAATCATATTAGGAAACACTCAGTATAAATCGTAAGGATACCAGCAACAAGGTTACAGTAGTATAGTCATATAGTCATACAGTCATACAGTAGTATAGTCATAAGGGAGGAGATGGGTGATAGGAAAATGATGACAAGATTAATAGTAGTGCAGACTTAATAAATAGTTTGACAGTGTTGTCGGAATTGTTTGTTTAGCAGAGTGATGGTGTTCAGGGAAAAAACTGTTCTTGTGTCTAGTTGTTCTGGTGTGCAGTGCTCTATAGCGTCGTTTTGAGGGTAGGAGTTGAAACAATTTATGTCCAGGATGCGATGGGTCTGTAAATATTTTCACAGTCCTCTTTTTGACTCCTGCAGTATACAGATCTTCAATGGAAGGCAGGTTGGTAGCAATAGTTTTTTCTGCAGTTCTAATTATCCTCTGAAGTCTGTGTCTGTCTTGTTTGGTTGCAGAGCCAAACCAGACAGTTATAGAGGTGCAGATGACAGACTCAATCATTCCTCTGTAGAACTGAATCAGCAGCTCCTTGGGCAGTTTGAGCTTGCTGAGGAGTTTATCTGTGCTCTCAGTGTCACCTGAATCAGAGTGCAATTGGTTGTGGAATTTTGGCACTGCTGCAAGTGGTTGACTGGGAATAGTTGGTGACTTATCCCTTCCCCAAATGTTGAAAGAGGACTGCTCAATGTTAACATCAATTGCCTTTTTACTCCTCTTTCAAACTAATGATCCTCTCTTTCCAAAATGTGGACTTTGCCATCTTTAAAAGTCAAAATAAATGAATATTTCTGTCCAAACTCAATAAGTACCAAAGGTAAGATCTATTAGGAAATATATTATCCATATAGCTAATAATTTCAGGCTCAGGAAATCAGGAGCTAAAATAGAGTTCAAAAAAATTTCATTTCATGCTACCTGTTAACCAGAAACTGATCTACTAATGGTCAAAGCAAACTGGCACCAGATAAGAGTCAATTGACTTCAAGGTGGGTGGAATTTGGTCTCTAATGAGGGTTTAACGATTCCAAACTGATGATGCATTTGACCCTGCCCTCAAGTTCAGCTTGGTCATCTACAAATAAAGTACAGTAGAACCTCTGGTTACGACCATAATTCGTTCCATAACTTTAGTCGCAACCTGATTTGGTCATGACCTGAACCTAATTTTGGAAATTTGGCGCTTACAAAAAAAAATGGCATGGAAGGGGAAATTGGCTGCGAAATAAAGAGTAATTTCTTTGGTTGGAACCTGATTTGGTTGTAGTCAGAAGCGTTCGTGACCAGAAGTTCTACTGTATATATAAATTTGACCCCTTTTTCACTAAGGTTGCTGGTGCTTCTTTGGGGGGAAGGTAATGTTAATTTTTCAGGACTGAGTTCAATACAAGGGAACAATTAATCCATGGAAAAATATAGATACAGGTAATCATCACACAGCGACTGTCTTATTTATATGTACAACAGTGTTGAAAAAATAAATTTACAACCAATGCCTGCATTTATTATCTTTGCAACATCAATGGCATATGATCACCATTACAGTTGTCCAGCGCATGTCCTTTTTCCTTCCTTCCTTCTTTCCTTCCTTCCTGACATGTTCTTTTTCGTTCCTTCCCACTTGCAGAGTGCAGAGATTGATAAGGTATTATAAGACAATAAGCAGGCAAACAATGAGGAATACACATCAAATGAAATGTGGTGATGCCAGTTTTGATTGTTCTTCTCCCCTCCCCCCTTGCAGAGTGCACAATCTCTTTTATCAATATTAAGCAAATCCATCTTAGTGGTATCTATATAAATACCACTAAGCCATATATATAAATGGCTGTGTGTGTGTGTGTGTGTGTGTGTGTGTGTGTGTGTGTGTGTGTGTGTGTGTATTCCAGCATAACTCTGGAACGCCTTGAGCAATTTCAACCAAACTTGGTACACAGATGATTTGCTCTCTGGAAAGAAATACTGTGGGGGTAAGGCACCCCTAACACCCCTCGGGGGGGTATTCTGTTAAGATATAGCCTATTGTGCCTTAAAATGTATTCTACTGTACAGCACAGTGGAGTTGCCATGGTAATGGCTTCACAATACTCCAAAAGGGACCTCCCTCTGGTAAGGGGGAAAATCCAAAATTAGAAATTATGTTTGGTCTGGAAATTTTCAGCAAGGTTAATTCTTGCTGAAATCAGGGCTCAGGGTGAAGTTGCTCTTCCTGTCTAATATAGGATTGGGATAAATTAATACCAGTGTAACACTGAGTTATCAGCTAATTTTTCATAAATTTTACTCTCTTAATAAACATTAAATTTTACTCTCTTAATAAACAATAAACATCGTTCTGTGTAGATGATGACATCTGATGAGTAATATATACAAAACACTTTAATAATAACTGTCTATCTTAAGTCAATGATTTGAAATATTTCAGCACCAAACCTGAAAGGAAATTTTTTGGACCATTCATAAGTGTTTGGTATGAGAGTTCTTATATGTCATCTTGTAGCAAAATTAAGAAGTTTTTATTTTATTAGAGTTCAGTTAAAGTTCTCTTCTCACTCCATTGGAGAGTGAGATGCTCTCAGCACATTGAGAATTATAGAATGACAGGTATAACAGCTGGCCTTTAGATAAATGGCAGTCAGGATCCTTCCTGCTTTATTGAAACTATATCATGATGCATTGTGTTGGAAGATAGTTGCTGGAGAGGTAGAAGTGGTGCCATTATAGAAGGGAAGTTTGTGCTTTGCACAGAAGCAAGACTATCACATAACATAGATAAGAAGTGAACAGTATTAGAAACTAGTTCATCCAACAGCTAAACCAGGGGACAGCAACCTGCGGCTCTGGATCCACATGTGGCTCTTTCATCCCTCTGCTGTGGCTCTTTGTCACGGATCAGCTCCACAATTGATAGGGCTTTCGGTTAGGACAGGTAGAGGAAAAAGAACATGGCACTAGGGGGAGACTCTATGGTGGGGGAACCAAACTTCCAGTCAGCAGAGGAAAAAGGACGCCATGCTAGGGGGAGACTCTATGGTGGGGGAACCAGACTTCCGTTCGGCTCCAGAATTGAACTGGGTGCTTCTGGTTAGGACTTTTGTGGCTCTTTCAGTGGTTAAGGTTGCCAATCCCTGAGCTAAATTAATGCCATTTTAGAAACAAGATAGTTTAGAAAGGAATGAAAGACAAATGAAAGACAATGCACATAGTTTAGAAAGGACAAACCGAATTAGATAAAATTTTGCAAGGGACATAGGACAAATTGATCAAAAAAAATTACAATTACTTACGAGGATATAAATTAGAAGAAGAGGTAGTGAAAGAAAATACGATAACCTGGGCAAAAAATTTCGGTTATAGTATTCAATTAGACAAATGGGAAAAATTATGGAAAATAAATTATAAATTGACAATGTCTGTACCTTATAAAGAAAATCTCTATAAAATGTTTTATAGGTGGCACTTGCCACCAGCCAGATTGGCACAAATGTTCCCCGGCACACCATCAACATGTTGGAAATGCAACCACCACAAAGGCACCTATTACCATATGTGGTGGACCTGCCCAATGGCGAAACAATATTGGCAAAGGATCAAAATACAAATAGAGGAAATTACACACCAAAAGATAGAACTAAGACCAGAAAGCTTCTTACTAGGCATAGTGAATGGATACTATGAAAAAGAAATAACCTATTTAATTATACATATGATAACAGCAGCACAAATACTATACGCGCAACACTGGAAGAGTAGTGATATACCAACACCAGATAAAGTAATCAATAAAATTATGGAATGTGCGGAATTAGATAGACTCACAAAGGAATTACAAAATAGGGAAGAACATGACTTTTACTTAGTATGGGAAAAGTGGTATAGTTGGTTGAAAGATAGGAAAGAGATGAAGGAATAGGAAGTAAACAAAATGACCAAATATAATATGATGGAAACAAAGAACAGAAATAGGTCAACAAAGATCAATAGTAGATAGACAAAAGGGAATGACCAAATAAGGAAGAGTCAAAATACAAAGAGAAATGTATATTACAGTTGCGACAAACTGGACATGTATTGAAATGGATGTTTATATATTTTTATGTTTTATACGTTTCATTGTTCTGTTTAGTTTGTACTTTTAAATAAAAATTGGAAAAAAAATAGAAAGGAATGAAAGACAAATGTTATTCTCATAGCAATAAGAGATAAAATATGCCAATTAGAACATAAATTAAGCTAGTCCTTATTTGGAAAGTATATCTTGAAAATTTGAGACCTAGACGTATTCCACTGATTAATTTCACTGATTAATTGTTCCACTGAGTAATTATTCTCATTGCCAGGAAATTTCTTCTTAGTTCAAGCTTGGTTCTCTCCTTGATGAGTGTCTATCCATTTCTTCATATTCAGCCTTCTGGTGCTTTGGAGAATAGGTTGATCCAGGGGTGGGATTCAGCCAGTCGGGCCAGTTCGGACAAAC